TAGAAGCTATTGTTATTGCTCCATATTCAAGAAATTTTAGCTCACCAAAGAAGTAGTATATAAAAGAAGCTTCTAATACCTTGCTTGTTATTTTAATATGTAATAACTATTGAATCCATGTTCACACTATTCAGTGTTATAAAATGGTGTTTGCTATTTGCTGAACTGAAATAATAGCAGATTGTAGCACATCAGTATAAGATTGGTCTGGCTCTCCATCTAAAACATAGTGTCTACTTTGCAGCACTCAGCCTGTATTTTGTAGTGTACGCTCCTGTTTGTAGGTTGGCAGTTTTAGTGATGCCAGGCTCCTAATAACTTGGATGTTAGCTTATTTTAGTTAAGTATTGTACTGAACATTGCATTTGAGCATTGTCAAGTTGTCATTTCTAAATTGTAAGCTAAATGGATGCACATTGAGGCTATACTCTTTAATGAAATAAATAGGACACACTTGAGTAAATAGTGAATAGTTTCTCTGGTGTGAAAACTAAAAGTGTAAATAAGGTTCAAATGTTATAATTGAGAGTGCGAAATAGGAAGAAAATGGCTAAAGGGGAAGTGGGAAGGGGAGGGGAAAGGAAATAAGGGAAAAGAAAAAAGTGTGAAAAAAGGAAAAAATGGAAACAAAGTGTTTGTAAATAGGGAAGGGTGATGGGGGTGAAGGGAGAGCAGGGGTGTGAGGAAAAAACAAGGACCAAGACATATCATGTGAAGGTACAAGATCCCAATGATGAATGTAACTGTACTGTATACCTAAAATGTGCTAATAAACTCAATGGGGAAAAATAAATTGTAAGCCCTAAAAAATTAATAAAGTGTTAACACAAATTTTAAAAGGTCAGGGTAATATAAATCTGCTCAGTGCCAGCATGACTTCCCTAGATAAGATATGCACCCAGAGAAAAAATGCTAAGCACTGTGGACTGATGACTCCTATTTGAATGTACTGAGAATGTCCTCTTTAGCATTCTGTCACTGCACTATACACAGAGAATTGTCTTATGTTCAACTTCAAAGCAGAGCTGCTCAACCTTGATATTATTGATACTTTGGAATAGATTATTTTTATTGTAGAAAGGTGCTCTTTGCACTATAGAATGTGTAGCAATATCCCTGGCCTCAATGTACTAGATTCTAGGAGCACACTTATCAAGTTGTGACAAACAAAACTATCATAAATGTTCCAATAAACTCAAAGCTGAAAAAAAAAACTATCTCTGATATTGCCAAATGCCCCCTTGGGAAAATTAATCCTTCTTGAGAACTGCTGCTCTGAAGAATGGAACAGGACCAGTTAAATACAAAAGACACTCACCAAATATTTTTGGATTAATTTGAAGACAGGAATGAACAGAGTTCTATAAAATGTACTGTTTATGTTTTTGAGATGGGATAAGTTCGGTATTATATTAGAATTCAAAGGAAAAAGATTACTTCCTCCTCAGGTTGAAAGCAAGGCTTCACTACTGATACTCAAAAATTTATGTAATTTTCGTAGGAGTAGATAATGTTGAAGAAATGAGTAGAGACAATTGGAAAAGTTCAAAATGTATTTAAGGGATAAATAGAGGCTGATTTGGCTGGGGTATAGTATAACCATTATAAGCAGAATCTGGTTGTAGAAGATAGTTAATACTAGACTACATAAATCCACTAAACTGATTTTTTAATTGAATTTATTGGTACATTTTAGTTATATAATATGATGACATTCATCATTGGGAATTTGTACTTGTACATGCTATATCTTGGTTCTTATTTTTTTTCCCATTCCCCTGCCCTCCTTTCAACCCCTTCACCCCTCCCTATATACTTAAGCTTTGTTTCCGTTTTGTCCTTCTCATTTTTTCTTTCCCTTTTTTCATTTCTCCCAATTCCCATGCTTAGTCTGCCTTCCCCTTTGAACATTTTATTCCCATTTCACAGTATCTATTATACATTTTGTTCTATATTTACACTTTCAGTTTCTCACACCAGAGAAACAATTTGATATTTACATATGTGTCCCATTTATTTCACTTAAGAGTATGGGTTTGGGGTGCATCCATTTAGCTATAAATGTCTCTGCTGTCCCTTTCTTTATGGCTGAGTAGTACTCCATTGTATATATAAGAAAAACAGATCTTTATCCAATCACCAGTTGATGGGCAATTGGGCCATTTCCAAGATTTAGCTATTACAAACTATGCTGCTATAAACATAGGTGAGCTTATATTACTGTGGATTATTTTTACTTAGGTGCCTTAATGTCTGGCTGAAAGCTGCTTTATTGTTTTAAAGCATGTTGCCATTGCTTTAATTATTTTGTATTAGTACATCTTTGCAGAAGATTTGGGAAGATGACTTGATTAAAAATAAAGAATGATGAATAATTCTTGGAAAAGTATAAAAACTAAAGTACTATACACACACACACACACACACACACACACATACACTTAGCTAAAACAAGGAAATAGAGAATAGTAGAAGATCAGTGTGGTAAAGCAAGCTTAAGCTAAATCCTGAAATAAGAAGCAGCAGGTTACCTGAAATTACAGGAATTTGGGGTTTGGATTGAAATGAGCAGTAGGCCAGGAGTCCTATATTTCTTGAAAGAAATTGTCTACTTTAAAACAAGATCCCGATCTTTGGAGCTTTCTACTCCAAGGCTAGGTGAGGTGGTTGGTTGTATTGACTTTTGCCTCCTTGATTTCATCTTTTCCTGAAAGATGGTTATCTCCAGTGATATCTTTTATCTCCACCATGCTGACCTCTAGAGAGGCAATTCCTTTTTGAAAATCTTGGTCTATGCCTGGCAATCCTTTCTTTTGTGGTTTCCTCTAGCACAACTGAAATGGGCTTGATTTCTTTCAAAATAACTTTATTAAATATTAAAGAATAAATAAATAAAATGCACGACATTGATTCTGACAGATTTATCTAATATCTCTGATATCACAGTTTCTGGTCAAGCCACTCTCACTTCTCAAATTTTTTCCTTCTGTTACCAGAAATATCTTCTGAAAATCCAAGTTGAACCACATCATTCCCCTCTTTAACTCTTTTGTGGCTTCTCATTTGTACATGGATTATGTTAGGAGGTCAACTTTATTAATATCTTTTCACTAGAGTGAGAAAGGTCTCATAAGTATGCTTACATAATGGTTTTATTTATCTAATTTGAAAGAGTTGACAGTAAAATTAAAATTGAAATATTTTGAAAGAGTGTGGGACCTTTCTGAAAATATATGGAAATGTTCTAACGCTGTCTAAAGCCTTCCAACTCATTTCTATTAATATTGAGTTTTCTGATGACTGTATATTCAGGCTGCCTCAAGGGAAAATCATAGCAGGTCCATCCTGGTTCAGCCTGAAGAGTTCTACACTAACCCGTTTTATAAGTTGGTGTCCTGCATGAGATATTTTGAGGATTGTTTGCTGCTTTCAAAAGAGGTGGAGTGATAATTTCTAAAGTTCCTATCAGCTCCAGAATTCTCTGAGAATCTGCCTCATTCTTTCTTGATTAACTTTTTGTTAATTTTGTCTTACAATAACTTATTAGAAAATTATAGCATTTCTGAGCTGCAAAAGACTTTTGTAGTTACCTTGCCCAGAGTCCCAAAATGAGCTCCAAAAAAACGGCTCCTGAGAAATGTTGATTGTTTATAAAAAGGACAAATAGTTTGAAAGTACTTTTGTCACATTGCTCATTATCATTTTAGGCACTGAAGTCTTATAATAAGAATACCATATTTCCAAAATTATGCTATACCTTATTTCCAAAATTATAGCATTATTATTATGCTACATAAGATGTTAAAAGATGTGTTAAAGACAAGCCACTTTGATCAGATAAATGGAGAAATGCTGATTTCAGGTCATATAGGTATTCTATGTGAGGCAGAGAATAGAAATTCCCTCCTTTTGCAAAGAATTTGAAATACAAAATGATTTACCAAGTGTCATAGAACTACTTACCAGGTCTCAGTCTGATACTTATTCCTTGATTGTCCCTGCTTAACTTCAAGTAGGTTATTTATTTTTTAAACTTTTTTCAGTGCATGTTTGCAGTACGTAATATTTGCATTCATCATAGGGGCTAGGTACATGTGCTTAATGTATCTTAATTCTTTCTATTCTGTTTTCCCTCACCTCTCCTTCCATTATGTATAAATACCACATTTTCTTTATCCATTCATCTGTAATGGGCTTTTAGAGGGTATCTTATAGCTTTACCTCTCAGGTGCTAGCTCCATATGGAGAACACAACATGAGGATAATAAATATATGGCAGTTCTCTGATTGAAACTTGTAAGAAAATGAAACATTATGGAATCAGTTTCTGTGTATGTATAGATTTTTCATCTTTTATAAAGAGAAATCCTGCTCCCCTATGCACAAGCTCTTTCTGCAGTTGCAATATGTGATTTTTGTTTCTCCAGAGTTTTCGTCTGTCAGTGGTTCATGGACATTGATTCATTCTATTTATTGGAAATAACACTGTTGGCTGTTTCGCCTCAGGAATAATTTGATTAGGGTTGCTGTTGTTTGACACCATTCAGGAAAATGTTACACTATAAAGGGTATTGGATTTGTCACAGAATGATATCAAAGGGGAGCCAGGGGCAGGGAAGCTAATAACATGCTAGCACAGTTATTAACATTGGGTTATTTTTCTTTGGCATTTTTGTCCACCACTTTTGGTTGATATCACTGTCATCATAAGAGGCAACTATGTGACCAATGTGATGATTTTTATTTGGCACGGGCAGAAACCAATATGAGATAAAAAAGATCATAGTAAGTTGATTTAGAGACCATGTTTTCCGGAATACCATGTTTCTGTCCTCTGAGATTAAATATCTATGATAGAGAAAACATTTTTGTATGGAAGGAAGATTGGAATGCACTGAAACAAAATGCTCATGTTGACCACATCAGCTGCAATGGAGCTTATCTGATGCAGTGACTCAGTCTCAGTGAATCTGACTGTGTGTGTGCTCTCTTTTGTGCAGAGGATCATCATCTGGGACCTGCCTGAGGCCACGAGAAAACATGGGGAGAGGTAAGTTTCTCTCTTCCCTTTTAAATAATTTAGACTCTCCTCTGTATTATCCCGCTATAGCCGGGAAATTGAATTTGCATCTCAGAGTATATTTGTGGATACCGAGCTTGTATTTCTTGCTAGTGCTAGAAAGTTCTCGTCTGAAATAGGGCTTTATAATGAAAGGCCACATACCTTCTGTTGCTTGCTAAGCCTTTCTTTTTTCTACTTTTTTGTGGACATCTCCCAGTACAAGGAGAGATGGCTCAAATACTATATAGAACTGTGCAAATCCCAGCTTCTTTTGTTTTTACAAATCCTAGTAAATTACCCCTATGCTTCAGATAGTTTCCATATTGTATTAATAGCAATACAAACAAACAAATGATTCTATGCAACCAATGACAATGGTGAAATATTCCTCTCTAAGGTTGATTTATAATTAGTTTTGGTTTTTCTTTAAGTGTTAAAACATAATATTAACACTTATTTGTTCAATTCTTTGTGCTCACTTTTGCTTTCTCACTGGACTATTTTTGGGCAGTAAACAACAGGCAAATTTGTTAGTTTAATTGTTACTATTATCTAGGTACCGCAGTAACTTCATAAAAACTCTAATAAATGTATATCAGAGGGCATATTGGTGCATGTATTTAATCCTAGCACTCTGGGAGGCTGAGGCAGGAAGATTGTGAGTTCAAGCCCAGCCTAGGCAGGTCTGTTGCCAAATAAAATATATAAAAATGGCTGGAGATGTAGCTTGAGGCAAAAACCCTGGGTTCAATCCCCAGTAACACAAATAAATAAATAAAATTTTAAAAGTAAATAAAAAGACTGCTACAAAAGATTTTAGAAGACTTTTTGTGTGGTATGGTATAAATGAGAAAAGTACTGAACGCAGTCAGAGGCTCTGATTTCAAGTTCTGCTACCTCCATCAAATCACAGAGCCTCTCTATACGATGAACTTATTTGTTCATCTCTGAAAGGGTATTAATCCCCTTTTCACTTCTATCCTCAGGAAGTTGTCATTGACATAGTATAATAAAACATATGCATATTTTTAACTCTAAATTGGAACAGAGCAGGTATTGTTGTATTGTTATTGAGTAAGTACATCTTGACTGGTTCTTTAAGGGTCAAAATAAAGCACTGAATTAGATGCTTCTGTAGGCAGCAGAGCTGGGAGTAGGGTTGGGTAAGTAACTGAGAGTTCCTCCTTGGGTTTCGCCTTGCTTGCCCATCTTTGTATGGTTCTTGGTAAGCAGCCTCAAGATTATGGATCAATCATGGAAAATATCTTCCTGCACATTGTCGAGCCAGTTTTGGCTCTGTTTTCTCCAAAGCTTCTCCTGGAAATTGATTTTCCCTAGGAATTCTGGTTGTAAACCATCATTAAAGTTACCAGTCTCTTTTTTAAAAGTTTCAAATAAATAAAAATGTAAAATAAAAAGTAAATACAAAAATTAAAACTAGGCAAGTTCCTGGGACTAATCTGTGCCATTCCCTCCCCCAAATTCAGCTGTCAATAGACGTTTCCAGAGTATATCACTGGTTTGGTTCTCACCAATCCCACATGGTTCAGGATGATTTGGAATATGTTCTAGTTTTTCAGATAGTGTCGTAGCCTTATGGAGAAGAGATCTGCACTGAGATAAGCAACCCATGTTCTTCCCTGTTCCCTCCTTTTTTCCAGACTAATCATTAGTCACTAGCAAAGGGATCATTAGTTGCTTACTTCCAAAGACACATCCCCAGACTATTTATTCAAATGGTCAGGCAATTAATAGAGTTCTTGCTAAACAACAGGACATGATAATGTAGTTGGCAGAGATGGACATGTTTCCAACATGGAAATGAAATAAGGGAAGTGTTTCACATAATGTTGCTTTTACAAACGTGATAGCAGCTCCTGTTGACTGCTCCTGTTGACCGTTTTAAAGGCATCCTTAATATCCTGATTGTCAGAGACTCTTTTGTTCTCCAAGCTTTGCTTTGTTTGCTTGATTTCATTGGTTAAGATCTGACACTGGTGGTGAAAAAGAGAAATACTGCTCTGTGTTCACTTTTTTTCTGGTGCTGCACAATGAACTTTTTACTGGATTTGGCATACATAGCTCAATGTGTCACACAAAGGGACACAAATGGAAGTGTTGCAAAGATATGGCACCAGCTTTAAATTACTAAGGATCTATGAAAACAAAGAACACAGACAATGCTTCAGTTTAGGTGACAAATTAAAATTGAGAATTATTTTAGGACATTTTTTGGCAATGATGAAGTAATCATCATTGAATTATCATTTTATTTATGTGACATGAAAAGTTATAAGCAGAGTCTGCGTTTAAAAGGGACAGGGATAACAACAGACTTGTGTATTTAATTTATTAGACCACCACCACTGTTCATTGGGTGTGGCACTGAAATATTATTTACTATATATGAAGTATTAGCCAGGGCTTGGTGTTTAGGTCTATTAAGAATCTATACTTTTTAATATTAAGCATCTATAGAGTACGTAATAATTCACAAATATTTCCTCTATATTATCTCATTTGAGTTGTAAGACAAGTCTATAATACAAAATGAGGATAATAATCCCCATTTACAGTCATAACTCTGAGGCTAATAAGAGAAAGTCTTCTCTGCAGTCTAAAGCTTGTAAGTGGAGAGCCAAATTGCAAAACTAGCTCATCTTATGCCATGCTTACTTTTTCTTTCCCCCAAATAAAGCATGTTGTGAAGATCTAACTGTTGCTAATGTTTAAAGCTGGTTGAAAACTTGCTATCCCTCTGTTTCTTTGAGACGTAGGGAATAAATTCTTTTCTATGATCTGCAATTATGTATGTATATCATAGGCTAGACAGGCAAAGGGAAATAGCTTGGTGTATGTCAGCATTTAAGCTAACAACTAAACTACATGTATATCAGAAGGTGGGGTGCCTGAAATATAAAAATCGTCTAAGCATAAATGGTCCATGGACTAATAAAAAGGCAGTAGCACTGATTGACCATGGTCATAGTAGTTGTCAAAACAGTTCAATTCAGAAGTTCTGCTTTATGCAACCCACTGCAGAATGAGCATAAAGTGAGGGGCCTGACACTGCTGGCCTATGTGAAAATCGCTTTTTTTGACTGATAAGTTTTTAATCTTTGTTTTTTTCTTATTACAACCAGTATATCAGACATTATGGAAAATGAAAAGAATATTTAAAAGCAAATTTATTACAGTAAAAGACACATTGTTATTAATCTACCTCAGAATACCTACCCCACCCTCTGCTTCAAATACATTTTCCCTTTATTCTTGTCACTTTCTTTTTTTAAATTAATTTTATTGGTACATCGTAGGTGTACAATATAATGACATTCATCATTGGAGATTTGTACATTTACATAATATATCTTGATTCTTATTTTTTCTCCATTCTCCTGCTCTCCCTTCAAGCCCTCCACCTCGCTCTATTTAAAAAGACTTTGTTTCCATTTTTTCATTTCCTCATATTAATTCCATTCCCTTCTTTTCTTTCACCAACCCCTACCCCTTCCTCTTTGCACCTTTTCTTCCTATTTCACATGATCTATTGTGCATTTTGATCCTTATTTGCACTTCCAATTTCTCACACCAGAGAAACTATTCAGTATTTGCACATGTGTGTCCTATTTATTTCACTTGCGTATTGCCTCAATGTGTATCCATTTAGCTACAAATGTCTCTAATTTCTCATTCTTTATGGCTGAGTAGTACTCCATTTATGTAAAAAAACCACACATTTTCTTTGTTCAGTCTCCAATTAATGGCCAATTGGGCTTTTTCCAAGTTTTAGCTATTACAAACTGTGCTGCTGTGAAATGCAGCTCTTGAAGTCCTCTTTCATGTCTTTAGTTGTGATATTATGGCTGCATCAATGTCCTGAGTGGACTCAATTTTTTTTTTTTTTTGGTACTGGTGAACAAATTCAGGTCCTTGAGCCTGTGAGGCAGGCATCAGAACCACTGAGCCACCCAGCCCCTGAATGGATTCAAAATGTTGACCTTGCAGTCATTGTTATTTTGGGGATGAGCCAAAAGTCACATGGTACCAGATGTAGTGAATAAGGTGAATGAGGACGTACCGTAATGTTCTTATGAGCATACATTTCCATTGGATGCTATTCAACAGCAGTGTTCACTGTGTTTTTCATCACCTTATAAAGGTACTTACAAAAGAAGACTTCTAGAACTGCTTCAGAAAGTGGCAAGAACAGTGGGAGAAGTGCTTTTGAAATAAGGGGAAGTATTTTTGGGTATAAACGGCAATTTGTCTTTTAATATAATATTTTTTCAAAAAGTAAACGTTCACCACATATTTCAATCACACCTTGTAATATATCATGTACTACTAGAATAGTAGGAGATGGCAAGGTGGGAGACTGCTTGAAAGAAGAATTATATGTGTAAATAGAATTGTATATAAATTTCTAGTAGAGAATTATGGTTTCTGTCTACCTGTCCCCCAGAGCCTTATGTGCTCATAGGTGGGACTTTGGGGAGGTGAGTGGAAAATGGCGGCACTGTACCTCATAGTGGATTAGTCCTGTTAGGATGTGGGGCCTGATGGGAAGAGGAGGTCACTGGGGGTTACCGGGAAGGTTATAGCTCCCTTCCTCGCTCCTCCTTTGACTCTCTGCTTCCCTATTGCTGTGCCCCAGCAGCGTTTCCTCTGCCATGCCTCTCTGATCTGCTGCCATGCATTGGAGTCAGCTGACTATGGACTAAAATCTCTACAAAGTGAGCCAAAATAATACTTTTCTCCTTTAAATCGTTGGTATTATATTCCAACAACAAGAAAGTGACTAAGAATTAATATTTTCTCAAGGTGGAGAATATGAGGACTTTACAGAAGTGTCACGTATGCTAACAAAATACTTGGTACATAATTCTATTTACTTTTAATCATTTTGAGGCGATTTATTCTACCTTTCCATTCTTATCCTGAGCAACTGGTCATGGCAAAATGGTAGATGCTCAGTATTCTCAGTA